GGCTGAGCAGACTCAAGAAGAGGAGGCCTGTGAAACACTATGGCCTTGTGCCTGCTGAGAGCTAAGAGTCTGTTATTTAACAATGTATCTCTTAGGTCGACTCTAACACAAAAAAGAACCTGAAGGCCAAGGGCTTCGTGTTTTCAGTTCCTTTTCAAGTTTTATCCATAGTTTTTTTACGTGGGTTGTACCCACACAGCACATACATTCTTGTGGTCTATTTCCTGTACTTATTTTCTGTATATGTAACCCTTATAGCTATTAATTCAGCAGGTGCACAGTATTTCACTTCCAATGTTGAGGAGGCCCACACCCCATGCTGCAATTCAAAGAACATGTGCTTTGGAGTCAAAGAAACAGTTCCAGTCCAGAATCGTTTACTTAACAGCCAGTCATCCCCTCTCTCTTATCTGTAAAGTGGACGTGATGCTGCTGATAACTTCCTCACAGGCTTGCTGAGAAAACGAAATTAGATGATGCACGTGAAAGCTGCCTTATCCCAGGGGCACTGGGGCTTACCGGCCGAACTGCTCCCCCACCTGCTTCAGTGCACAGGTTGAAGCCCTAACCCCCAGAGGGACTGTATGTGGCCCCAGAAGGAAATGCAGGTTAAGTGAGGTCCTACAGGTGGGCTCTCATCTAATAGCACTGGTGTCCTGTTAAGAGGAAGAGACCACAGGAACACACACACACACAGAGGAAAGGCCGTGTGAGGACAGGAAGAGAGGCCTGACCAGAAACCCGCCCTGCCCACATCTCGATCTTGGACGTCCAGCCTCCAGAACTGTGGGAAAAGAGATTTCTGCTGTGTCAGTGGCCCTCCCCCCCCACCCCCCAAGTCTGTGGTGTCCTGTTAGGGCAGCCCAAGCAGACTAAGAACACTGGGCATTAGAAGGAGGATGGATGTCTAGGTGGTTGGGTGTTGGGAAGCATCTTGTTAAAGGTGAGGCCACCCCACAGAGTCCTTTTACGGACAGCACCATTGGTAGGGGCTTTCCCGCTACTCTGAGCCTCCCAAAGTATCCCTAAGGGACCTAGATCTTTGTTAGGCACCCATCTGCTGCCCATGCCGGGTCACCTCTCAAAGCTACAGCCTGGGATGAATGGCTGGACAGACAGAATGCTGGCAGGGCTCTGGGTGACTGGCTCTGGCCCACGGTTCGGGAGCAGACATGATATACATTTGTCCAAATAGAAACTCTCCTGCTCTCTTCCTTCTGCCCCGAGAATTCCATGACCCAAAGAGGGATGCTCCCTCAGCCTCAGTTATCCAGGAGAGCCCCCAGCAACAAAGAGGAGTTAAAAAAAAAAAAAAAAAAA